CTCTCTCTCTCTCTCTCTCTCTCTCTCTCTCTCTCTCTCTCTCTCTCTCTCTCTCTCTCTTTCTCTGGATAGGATGTCTCTGTTGGCTCTGGTTGTCCTGGAACCCACTTTGTAGATCAGACTGGCCTCAAACTCACAGAGATCCTCCTGCTCCTATCCTATGTGCTAGGAGTAAACCCTGTGTCAGAACACCAGACTCCTCTGCATTTTCTTTATTGGCAGTTTTTGTTTTGTGTTAGAACTATTTTCCCTCTTTGGATCTGGTCTTCAAGTGTCATCAGTCTGACCTCTGGATAGCTGTTTTTCCTGTTTGTATGCAAACACTGTTTCTCCTCTTAGCAGTCTTTGTTTTCTTTGCTCTCAGAAAGTGTGGGCTGTACTTTGCACATTGGGAGCAGGTGCAGGTCTCTGTACTCAGGGTGTTCATCACAACCTATGTTCAGAGTGCATCTTTCTCAGCTAGAAGCACTGCAAGCTCACTTAGGCCACCAATGCCTGAAGCTGCACACACCCTCATTTCCACTTCTAAATCTGCACTGACTATAGTTATGGATTTCATTATGTTCTGTATGCAAATGTAAATACCAGATGCTCCCAGAGGACTTGGTTAATATTCAAAGGTGTCAGCTATGGATGCTGTACTGCCTCAGGAATTGCAGTTATGTAGGCCCAGACTAAGGGAAAATGTTGGTGTTTATAATTTTGGATATTGATGTAAAATTACCAAAATGGAAGATAAACAGAATTGTCACATGCATTCCTATGTTTTATTCTAACCTCTCTATGCCAAGACAATGTTTTAATCCCAGTGACTGCTTAATGCGATTCAGCTTAGCTCTGTGGCGCCTTCATGTCACCATCTTGTCATCCAGAAGGACCCTGAAACAAGGATGACTGGAGCTGGCTCACTGGGCAGCTGGGGACCAAAGGCAGGACTGGCATATGTGTGCACTTGGTGTGTCACTCTGGAGGGTCAGTGTGGACGACCTGATATGTTTGAAAAAAAGAAAAACCGTTGATTTTTAATTTTTTGTTTTCCATCTATATTTAAAATGCTTTACCATTTTTGTTTTTTAATTATCTAAATAAAGATTTTGTATTCCCTTTTTTATGTATATGAGTGCTCTATCAACTTTATGCCAGAAGAGGGCATCAGATTTCACTATAGATGGTTGTGAACCACCATCTGGTTGCTGGGAATTGAACTCAGGACTGCTGGAAGAGTAGCCAGTGCTCTTAACCACTAAGCTATCTCTTCAGCCCCAGAATTTATATTCTTTTTTTTTTTTCCAAGACAGGGTTTCTCTGTAGCTTTTGAGCCTGTCCTGGAACTAGCTCTTGTAGGCCAGGCTGGCCTCGAACTCACAGAGCTCTGCTTGCCTCTGCCTCTCAAGTGCTAGGATTAAAGGCATGCTCCACCACCACCTGACCAAGTTCTTAAAAGCTAAGAAAGAGCCAGGTCATGGTGGGGTATACCTGTATGATGTGGGATTTCCTTCTGTATGCTGTGAATACCATTGGTTAATAAAGAATCTGTCTTGGGCCTGGCAGGGCAAAATAGAGGTAGGCGGGGAAAACTTAAACTGAATGCTGGGAGAAAGAAGGCAGAATCAGAGAGCTGCCATGGAGCCACCAGAGGGGAAAGACTTGAACTGACAGCTGGAACCTTGCCAGTAGGACATGCGCCTCATAGTAAAATATAATAGAAATGGGTTAACTAAAGCTATAAGAGGTGGCTAACAATGTACTTAAGTGATTGGCCAAGCATTGGTTTAAATAATATAGTTTCTGAGTGATTATTTTGTGGTAGGGGCAGCCGGGAACAAACAAGCGGCCTCCTACTACAGACAAGCAACCTCTGCTCAACACCTGTAATCCAGCCAAGTACTTGGTGGCCCACGCAGGAAGATTGTGTAGCCAGACCCTGTGTCCAAAAAAGAATCAAGGGGCTAGAGAGATGACTAAGTGCTTAGCACTTTTTGATCCTTTAGAGGATCTGATGCCCTCCTCTCACCTCTCTTGAGCACCTGCACTCACATACTCATACCCATACATGTATATAATTGAGAATAAAAGAAACTCTA